TATATATATATATATAATCAGATCTGCCTTTTTATTAGACAGTGCTTCTCGGGCTTCTAATGCCAATATTTATCCTTTGCTGAAAGTTGTGTGATAGAGAATGAAGTTCACAGCATTACAATTGCAATGTTTTCTAGCTGGGGCCATTCCTGCCTTCTGTTACGCCCAGTGACTCCCAGTCTCGAGCTTCTCTACTGAATCTGGGGACATTAAGTCTCAGATGTTCAGCGAGATGAGCAAGGAATATGTATGTGGACCTCCAAGCTATCCTACTTTCTTCAGGCACATTTTGTACCTTCCACGGTATCTGGTTACCTGAGGCTTCCAAGGGTCTTTCTGGTGTTTCCGCCCTTAGGTACTTTGCATGCAGCCTTCTGTGCTCTACTAAAGCTGTCCCGCCTCCGTTTCCTCCACCCATTTCTGTCAACATTACACATCTGTGGTTATTCCTGACCCATTCTCTTTGTCCTTATGAGCTTTACTTATTTATAATTATTATTCAGTTATGAGTTATATTAGTCAGGGCCCAACCAGGAGAACACACCCACTCTGAGTATTCAAAACAAAGGGATTTAATGCAACGATTTAGATACTCAGATGATAGAACTACCTGGGAACCCACAGAAGTCTGTGAGGCAACCCAGAGATTAGCAGTAGTGCCACCACCTCAGATTGGCTGGGCAGAGGGAGGAGGTGGTTCAAGCACCTGGCAACTGTGATGGAAGCCCCAGCTCCGGTATGGTCTAGTGTCTGGAACTCATAGGAAAAGCAGCCACTGCTACATCCTCTATCAGAAGCAAACGGGAGTGGGAGAAAGCCTTTGGCTTCTTACCACCTTCAGTTTCTCACCTACTGGCTCTCCTTGTGGAACCCATGGGATTCTGAGAGGCAAGGAGCCTTGTAGAGGTCAGTGCCTCCACACTACAGCAGAAAAGGGAGCCGATCTAAGGACACAGGGAACCAGGGTGAGCTTCCTGTCACAGTGAGCTTTTGAGAGCTAAAATGAGTAGGGGGATATTTGGCTAAGATGGTGAACACATCACAGTCGTGCACAGTCAAGCTCTCTTTTGAGATTCTCCCTATAGAAAGGCTTATACAGTGAATTTTTAATTTTTTAATTAAATTTTTTTTATTTTTTAGAAGAAGCATTTCATTACAGCTTTAACATACTCAATAACAATTTCCAGAGCAAAGATGCATCTCTTTCAAAAGTGGCTATAAAATGTTTAGGTTTGCTGTTGAATTAATACAGTTATGCAATATTTAACTCAGTATAAACCTTATAAGACCTAAAGTTGAATGAGTTTTTAACCTTTAAAAAGGATCTCCATTTCATTTTAAAATATATGGTTTCTTACAGAAATATTCATTGTTTTTGCTAATAACACGTAGATGTTGGTGCATGCATCTCTAATCTGTATGTATCTGATTATTACTAGTCGTGGTCGATTGCACCTGTATATGGATATAAAGTCATTGGGTAGATTTCAGTTCTGTGTGATATGCACACAAAAAATAACAAATTAAAAAATGAGTTATAATT